TTCTTGCGGCTGTTCCTACGGATCCCCCAAAGTGACTCCGTTTTGGGAAAAATTTCAATTTAAAAAAAAAAACCGAACAGAAACAAAGCAGAGGGGGAAAAGAAGGAAGGGAGAAAAAGAAGGCAGCGACAGATCTGAGCAAACCAGAGAGGGAGAAGAAGGAAAGAAGAAGGTAGAAGAAGGAAGGCAGCAACATATCCAAACTTCTTCTCTGGGTCATCCTTGTAAATCGCTAGCTTGCACCCACTGCCATCGCCGCCCACCTGTCCTTCTCTGTCTCTTTCTCCTTCAACGTTGGGGCTCTGATCCGGCTCCCATCTATCGTCTCTCTCTGCAACTTTCTCTCTTCTTATTTTTCTCTCTCTCTCTACACATACATGCATGTATATATGTAAGCCAATTCATGTGTTTGATGAACGAATCACAAAACTGATTTTTTTTATTTATTGATTAATTCTTCTTCAATATTCTAATGAGTGAATCGAAAAAATGAATATATCTGTAAAACTAGTATGACGCAGCAGGAAAAAATTTCAGATCATACCTTAGGTGATAGAAGCGAAGAATCTTGGGGGTAAATCACGTGCTTCAATAAATGCGAACAACGAACTCCCAGTAGTGGTGTGTAGACCGCCCGAACTCCGCTTCGCGCGCAAGGGCGCGAATTGTTGTTCTAGCTACTTCAGTTCGGATTCATGTCACGGTTCTGAATCTAATCTCACAAAGTGCAATGTAAGACTGATAAATCACCAAAGAGTTCAAATCTGACAAATCGTTTTGGAAAATCGATTTTAATAAAAAAGCGCAAAGCATGGACTGCTTTGCCAGATTTTAGAGTCGCCACCTAAATTATTTATTTTGAAAAATTTAGGAAACCCTGACTCGTGCCTAAGGCCACGTGTCCGTCATCACCAAAGTTGCCTCGGCTCAGGAACTTGGGTACGAGAAGGGAAGGTCCTGAAATGAGCACCCCCGCTCGCCTGATCAAAGATCGGCCTCTACTAAACATGATATGTTATTTTTGAAAACACATGAGTTCTTATTCCAGTTTATTAGCTAGCTTACTATGTGATGCGCACAGCATACAAGTATAGACTAAATCACTCGAATTGGAACAAAACATTTCACGTTTGTTTTCGAAAATGGTTTGAAAGTGCTACTCGCAAGTAGGCTAAGACGCGGATTTGCCACCCTCAAGTGGGCTTAGAAAACATGATTTGCCACTCTTAAGTGGGCTTAAAACGCACATTTTGATGAATTGTTCCAATTTAAGCAATAAAGCCTTCATCCACAGGCATTCATGCAGTTAAACACTTAACCAAATAGCTTCATGGCAAGCATGCTGTCATGGTAGCACTTACACACATGCAAGATGCTAAACCATAAACACTTACAGTGTACTCCGAGCCAAAACAAAAGCTAGTTAGTAATCATGCATGATCCTAGCTATGTTAAGATGCCTAATGCAACACATGCAAAAATGTAACTAAAATAGGCTCGGGTATCTAGAATGGCATATGAATGCAACTTGATAACAAGTATTCAAATTGGTATTGAAATACAAAGCAGTTTGTATGATGCACCGAACCCGGTGCATGCAAAACAGATGAATGATGCACGCATGCGAAGCATAAGGATGCTAATTGAGATATGCCCTAAACTAACCATCAAAAGCTAATAAGTAAAAGGGAGAAAGAAATGGGGTTGGAAGACATGCATCACGCACACGCACACTTATTACAAAATTCGCCCTCTCGACGGAGGGTCCGAATAAATCAACTAACTAGTTATGCTAAGCTAATTAATTACAAACCGAATTGAAACTAGTTATACTAAGCTACAATGTCAATAAATGCACAAATGACACAATGAGCCTACACCTCTATCATGCTTGATCAAGAGGGTCGGCGACCGAGAAATGAGGCACGTTCTATCACTTCAAGTATGAAACGTCCCTTGTTTCTCGTGTTCGGATCAACATCCGATCCAAACACAATGCAATGCAACACACATGCAAACAACATGCTATGCAACAACATACAAACAACATTCAATGCAACAACATGCAATGCGACAACATGCAAACAACATGCAATGCAACAACATGCTCTCCTAATAATGCTAGAATGGCATGCACAAGATTCTACTATGCAAACAATGCATGCATGACATATTTGGAGGCTAAAGCATGAAAGCAAGTAAAGAGCATCATAGAAGAGGCATGCAATACAATGCTCCATGGACTTAAACCATATATGGACAGACCTAAGAGGCTTCAAAACAGTGGCCAACACACCAAAAACTTAGGCACAAAAGGGGCAAAAAAACACATGCTCATATGATGGCTCATCAACTAGGCATAAGGTCAACTCTTAAAAGCGCTTAAAGAGTGAAAAACATAGAAGTGTGACAATACTATATGCTCTGAAATATCATTCCAAATGATGCCAAAACATGCACATATGACAAATGAGGTATGCTAGGAGGCTCAAAGCTTAAGGCTAACAACGGTACTTGCACCATAGCCATATCAAGCAAGCCCCAAAGGGCTAAGGTGACTTAACACAGTCCTAAGGCAAGTCAAAACAAGGCCAAAAACATGCTTGAACATAGCCAACATATGCTAGAATTAAAGGCATGAAGCATGGGGCATACTAGGCCAACAAAGGGGATTACACTACACCTACCAAAGCCAAGCATGAGATGACTTCACCAACTAAAATCAGAGTTAAGGCATGTTAAATAATGACCAAAAACATGCTGGAATGAAACCAACACATGCTAGAAAGATGAGCCAAAACCTTAAGCATACAAGGCTAGTTTGTGAGGATTACACTACAAGTGTAAAAAGCATGCATGAGGTGACCAAACCAAGCCAAAACAGAGCTATATCATGGCAAAATAAGGCCTAAGACATGCTGAAATGGAGCCTCAAGGAGGTAGAAAAACATGCTAACTTGGTGAGCCATCAACACAAGCACACAAGATACAAAAGGGAGGGGGGGACCACCCCTACCTATTTTGGGTCTCAAAACACACTTTCCACCATTAAAATTTCTCTGGAATTCAGTGGTGAAGAGGCCAAACAAAGGTGATCCAAAGGCCTAAAAGAGATGGCTTAAAACAAGGCCAAGTAAGGCACAAAAGGGGGTAAGCCACCCCTAGCACCAAAGAAGTCTTAAACAACCATTTTAAACACTTAAATATAGAACTTTTTTCAGTTGAAAGTTAAGCCAAAAGAAGTATGCAAAGGTGGCTAAGTACTCAAGCAAAACAAGGCTTAAAGGGGGTAATAACTCACCCTTGAAGAACCACAGCCAAGCAGCAACTTCTGAGCTAACAAAGCAAACTTTGAGAGTCCAAACAAGGTCCTCTACTACCTTAACAACAAAGCAATGGTGCTGTACTAGGTGTTGTAGTGCAAAAGTGAAGAGAAAACACACTTTTGAGCACAAACAAATGCAAATATAGAGAGAGAGGGAGATATAGAGAGAGATATATGTATCACTCTATATCAATTTTTTTGAACCTCTGGAAAGGGAGAGGGACCTCCCCTCTTATAGAAATCCAAGTCTCAAGTTTGTTGAACAAGTTAGAGGCTTGGTTCAATCCCTCCATACACGTGTGTATGGAGGATGAGTTCTATGCTTACCAGCTGTCACAGCTGGCAATAAAATATCTGCAAAAGCAAATAAAAAGGTCTTGGCCAAAAAGTATGGCCGACCAGCCAATAAAGGTGTCGACTGGCCATTAGTGATGCCGACCGGCCACCACTGATGGTCGATGGAAAGAATGAATGGCCGATAGGCAAGAGGCCTGGCCGATGGGTTGTAAGGCTGGCCAACAAGCCATCCTCTTCCCTCAGAAACAAAGCCACAAGCTCTTGGTCCACAACCAAGCACAAAACAGATAAGTTGAAAGGCTCCAAGGCAAGGCGCACAGCCGAGACCTTCAGAAACTCAAAACAAACACAAGCATGGATGATCATCGAGTGTTCGAACGATGACGTCCAAGTCTTGAGGACGGTAGAAAATTGGGTGTCTACATGGAGTGATACCACAATATGAGTATCACCCACACAAGTCACAGTGCAAAGGTTGAATCGTTCTCATAATGGAAGAGAGTTAGAGAGAGTATATAAAAATGTTATAGGTAAAAACCACATAACGTATCTGATATAAATATATTATTCAAATATAAAATCAGATATATAACCATATATATTAACCTATCCATATCAGTTGATATGATAGATATAGATATCAAGAGTGGGTTATCCAAATAGGTTTTGAATTTAAATTCAAAACTTACATGGATAAGGTTCAAAAAGAGTCATGGGTCATGCCACATAGGTTCAGAAGGTCATGGGTCATGCCACATGGACGCCCAATTTCTAATATTCATGGCTATTTGTAGAGAGAATCACAAAAATGAGTGAATCACAAAACCCAGAAATCTTGCCTTTGTAGAGAGAATCAGAGGAGATATGGGGTTGTTTGTGTGGTTAAGAGGGAGAGAAAGTTGATTTGGGTTTGTGTAAAGAGCTAGGGTGGGTTTGATAGTTTTTTTTTAGACATCCTCTTCTCCCTTCTTGGTTTGGTTTGCGGATCCTCTTCTTTCCCTCTCTGATTTGGTTTACAGATCCTTTTCTCCCTCTCTTTGGTTTGGTGTGCTTCTGTTTTGTTTTTGTTTTTGTTTGTAATTGAAATTTTTCTCAAGATAACATCGTTTTGGGAGTGTTGCAGGAACAGCCGCAGAAATGAGCGGCCGAGGACCCAGACTCGTTTTTGTTCTACCCACCCACCCTTTTTTTATTATTTATTTATTTTACACATTTGGTGCTCTTTATGAACTCCACTCCTTTGCTCGGTCCCTCGTCTGAGTTCAGTTTTCTATTTCTTTCAGCTCGGTCCTCCCAAAATTGTCCACCTGTTAGCTAATTTCGGACATGTGGCATTGGTTGGAGTGTTTTTTTGAAATTTGCAGCTATCTTTCCTTATTAGACATGATTCAACTCTATCACCTTTACGTGGTAAAATTATACATTTTATTTATTTTATTTATTTATTCTTTTAAATCTCCAACCAAACAAGCGGTAAGAATTTTCGAAAACAACTCCAAAACCACTTTTTCACAGACGGAAGGCCAAAACCAGTCTGGAACTCAGTTGCTGTCTTCATCTCCAGCAGCCGTCCCGTCGTTGTCGTCGGAGTTCATCTGTTAGCATCGTGTCGGAGCCACCCCACGTGGGCGACAACTCTGTCCTGCTTCACCGTGAGTTTGCCTCTTGCCGCCGCCGACTCACCATTCTTTCCAACGGGTTCATGGTTGATTTTCTTTTTTGATGTTTTCTTCACCGGCGCTGGGTTGTTGCCATAGCGCCGCTACCTTGCTGTTGGCAAGCTTGTGTCGCTGGTTTCCAGCTTCGTTTCTTGGCTTCGACTTGATTTTGGTTGTTCATCATTAATTGCAGGGGCAACTTTATTTTGATCCTGTAAGTCCATGAATTCATCATTTTTTTTCCCCCCAAGTGTCTGGATTTTTCCACTATTGTTGGAGACTCCCTTCAATTTCTCATTATAACTTGATATGAATCTTGGTTTGAACAAGTGTGGTCTTTGAATTTGTTTCAACTTCTGGCAGGTCGGTCTTGCTGTTGTGGGCTTCACACGACATTCATTGCTTAGTGGTCGTCATTGTTTCGTAGCTTGCAGCATTAGCTTGATATTGTGAGTTCACCCAATTTGCTTCACCCAGTAACTCAATTCCTTCTTCTGTTTTCTTGGTTGGGTTTTGAATTTCCTTTTTGCATCCTCATCATTTCCCTTGAAATTCATGGCAGGTTTGGCTTGACTCCGACATTTGTTTGATGCCCTAATTTCAGCATTGTAAGTTCTTGATCCTCTGTCTCTCCTTTATTTATTTTGTATTCTAGATTTAGGAGATGGGTAAGTTTAGAAGGCTAATAAACACATCATCCAAACTAGCATTTTTTTAGAAAAGTACCATATTCCAAAAGACATTACTCCGGTGTTCCGGGGTTTAAACACACTTCGTTCACTGACCGCCGATACCGTGCCCCTTCCTGTAGAATCCATAGTAGAAGGGGAAGTTCGGTTTCCTCTGGACCCCTTGTAGCTTAAGTTTTTCCATTACTTCAAATTCCACCCCATGGAGATATCTATGAATACTTTTAGGGTTGTAGGTGGCTTCATTGCCCTTAACCGGTTGCTTGGCCTTAGCTTAGGAGTATGGGACATACTCCATTGTTACACCTTCTCCTATAACCCAGATTGCACCTACTACCTTAAAATTTAGACCAATGTACCCCAAATGATCCTAGACCTCCCTGATGCCAATATGTTTTCGAAAGACTTCTTCATCATAGGAGGAAACTTCAAGTATCCAACTGGCATAAAGGATCGACTAACATGGGTGTCGCATAAGGGGGGTGGTCCAAGTTAGCTTTGGTCCTTAAGGTTTTACTTTCATGCTTTTGATGTTGGTTCTAACTTTTGTTATGGCTTTGATAGATGCTTCTCAGACGAGAAGGCATATGAACAAAGAACATCCGACCAACCTTGAGACTGCCTTCGCGTACCCCAACCGAACCATGACAGAGCTGCTTGGATACGTAACCACTAACAAGCATAAGCTTAACAAGAGGAGGGTTCACGTGATTGATTACCTTAAGGGGTCCTTGGAAAGGTCGGTCGAGCAACAAGCTTGCAACAACACCAGTGCTTCTACTTTCGCTGTTGTTCGGTCATCAAGTGGAACTACGAGGAGGACCCTTTTCCTGATGAGCAAGAAGCCATGACTCACCAAAAGCTTGACCTTGTAGCTCTAGTTTACAGCACAGACCCTGTTGCTGAAGTGGCTGCTGTGACTATACAACTGGCCAAGCAAAGAGTCTCAGTTCCAAAGCAATCTATGTAGATTACCGAGGAGGTTCTCATTCCTATTCTACCTACCACCACTCAAACTAAAGCACCGAAGGCATCCAAGTGGAAGAGGGATAAGGGAAAAGATGTTGTTGAGGGCTTTGAGGAGCTGACTTTGGTTGAGGAGTGGCTGCCGCCTTTGGAGCATGAGGGTCACCCTATCACTATGTCCGACAATGTGACAGCTTCTCGTGAGTTGGCTTTCAATCTATTCAAGGTGTTACTTCTACCCTTATGGTTGAGAGTAATGTGGACTCTAAATCCCTAAAAATAGGGATCCCTTTAGATGGTGACCGTAGTAAGTGTTTTCTTCTTGATTTGATTGATTTCCTTTATTTTCTCTCTCTAGTGTTTTATCGTGGTCTTTGACAATTGGGCTGACAGTTTCATGTTATGGAGCAACGTCGTTTGGAGCAAATAGTAGACTGTGACCAAACTACAAAGGTGCTAGTTGACGCTGACCTTGCTCTGAAGTCAACCGAGAAGGAGACCGTCGCTGCTAGGATGTCAGCCATTGCTTAGGAGAAGGTGGTGTTGGAGGCTGAGAGAGTTTCTAAGGTGGCTCTGGACACCAAGAAAGAGGTCGAATAGGGAAGGACTGAAATGGAGGTCGAGCTGGAGGCGATGAAGGCTAACCAAGCTAAGCTTATTAAAGAGGCCAACCAGAACAGTTGGGATGAAGCTAAGGCGGATTATGCCCAACAGACGTTGGAGTTGAGAGATGGTTTATTTGTCAAGGGTTGGACAGAGGCCCTTCGTGGTACTGGGATTGAGAAGACCTCTGCTCTTTTCAAGGACATCCTTGTTTTGTCAATAGTTGCTGCTGTAAGGGCTGCCAAAGCAAATGAGGCATCCTTAAAGGCTAAGACTTCGGAGGCCACCCCTTCCGTTTCTCCATTTCCTTCGTCTGCCAAGCCTTATACCGAACAAGCTAGAGCAGCCCCAAGATAAGGACTAACAATCTTCTTCTTCTTCTTCTTCTTCTTTTTTTTTTTTTTTTTTTTAAATTTTTTTTTTTTTTACTTTGTTTTTTGTTTATACAAAGAAAAATCCATGCTCTGTTTTTTGCCACATTTGGGACAACATCCCTAAACAATGATTCATTAGTACTCTTGACATTTTATAAGTGGGAGTGCCTTTTTTTTTGTAGTAATGATGTGCTCTTCTTGAATTTTTGCAAGTTTTGAACTTCTATCCTTAATTTTTGCATGTATATGTTATGTTTGCCCTTGACTGAGAATGGGCTCTATAGAGAAGAAGGCCATATGTTCGATCAGACCAGGCTTCATAAAATTGAATTACAAAATTGAAGAATTAAAACTTTTCATGCCCCTCGGTCGAGTAGAGGCTTCGAAACCACACAGGGTGTCTGATCAATCAGATTAGGGTTCATGTCACAACCCGGACTAGCCCCTAGAGATTTAGGCCGTGACCGGCCAGTAATCCCAGATTACTTTCGGCCGCAAAGACAAAACTGATAATTAATAATAATAAAGGGGCACTGCGGAAGCAATATTAAGATATAAACTCGTCCATCGAGCGGTGTATATATGATAATCATATGAATTTAAAACTTCAACTCCTTCAAAGATACGGATACTAAAGTATATTATAGCATCTTAACACTTATACAAATTATCCATTCATTTCAAGTTCCAAAACAAAAGAAACTAAACAAAAGAAATAAAACAAAGCATCATGATGCACAAGGTTGACACACTTGACGCATGAGACCAAGATCGGCCCATCACGAAGGCACTTTAAAACGGCTGACAAAACGGTGGACTCCTGAGGTTGCTCTATGCTTAACGTTCCATTTGCTCACCTACGTATATATAAAGGAAGAGTGTGAGCTAAAACCCAGTGAGTGATACCAGTATAAAGAGGTCAAATGAATGATGTACATTATTGTACAAAATCATATCATATGAGTTCGAAACAAATAATAAATGAGTACTTGTCATATCAAATTTCACAAATTATATTCATATGTGGCATATCCATTAGTGCACAAAGGGGTCACATGGGTTTATATCAGAGATCTCTGTAACGAAAGGCCATGGTATTGTTATTCCCGAGCGAGGGCCATATAGCATAAGCCACGGTATTGTTACCCCCAGGTGAAGACCATGTAGCATAGGCCACGGTATTGTTACCCCAGGGCGAGAGCCATATAGCATAAGCCATGGTATTGTTACCATTGGGCGAGGCCTATACTAAGGATGCCACAATTCCATTTCCAAATAAACCACCATTCATTCATAACAAAATAACATTTCAAAATAACACTCTTGTGACAAGCCAAAATATATTTTAATAACATATCTTTACAAAGATACTATTCACAATAGGTTGGCACTGACAATAGACCTCGATTGACCTTCTACACAAAGCACATAACACAAATACACATTGAAACACACGTTCGAACAAGTAACGTATCTTAATTCATTTCCCTTATGTGTGTCTCTAGCTTGTTCGATGACTAAGGATGTTCAAATGATGCAAAAGAATGCCTAAATGGGCATGAGGATGCAAATATGCACTTAGGAGTGTTAATCAAAACTTGTTGAAAATAGGGCCTTCACTTGAGCGCACACTTGGTCACTCGAGCAGTGTGGCCTAACTGCAAAAGTACTGGATGCTCGAATTTTACGCTCGATGGTTGCTCGAGCCAAGTGCTGAACAAAAGTGGGTTTCCTCAAGCGCACACTTGGTCACTCGAACCAACAGCCAAATGTCTACAAAAGTGTTGGATGTCTTCGTTTTTCGCTCGAGCGACAGATTCTTCACTTGAGCAAACTGGACGAATTCTGGGTTTTCCAGAATTGTGTTTGAAGTTCAAAAACATTTCTTTCATGTTCAAAACTTGTATGGTTAGTCTCAAAAGCTTAGAAACACTTTATAAAACATGGATTGTTGGAAAATATGAAACCATAATCTCAATTCCCTTTCCAATTCTTCAAAACAAAACTCAAAACATTATGTTCTTGACATGCGTGTAGGAAATCCAACTCTCTTCTTTTTAAAAAACATGTTTATATGAGATGTTGAGTGCAAATCATGAAGAACCTTAAGAAATAACTCATGTAAGTCCCATGCATGTGTGAATTTGTAAAAAACCAAGTTCAAAAGTGAAGAAATAAGCATACATGTACACAATTCGCTCAAACTCACTAAACTCTTGATAATTCGTGCTCATTTCTTTCAATTACATGCAAATGGTCCTACAATTTGGTGAATTCATCTTCCTACATGGATTAACTTCATGAATTATAGGTAAAGATCATACTTAGAGCTTGAATTAGGCCTTAAATAAACTTAAACTCTTTGATCTCTCCATAATTCTCTTGAATTCTTCTTCTTCTTCTTCTTTGTCTCTCTCTCTCTCTCTCTCTCTCTCTAAGATGTTGAGTTCCCTCTCTAGCTCTCAATTTTCAGCACAAGTTAATGTCAAAAATGAAGTTTAAAGCATGATTAACATATATATATAGGTGGATTAGGCTTAGCTAATTAATTGTGATTAAGGCTAAACAATTGGCTTAAGTCTAATCAATTATACTTATTTTATTCTAATTATTTTGATTTGAATCAAATTTTAATTAAACTTACCATACGGTTCTAAAATTCCCAATTAGCCTATTGAATTAACCAATTTTGATTTCTGAATTTGCTTGGGCCTTCAATTTCATATTCTAAGTTGACAATTAAACAGATAATTCACAAACAAACAGATATGTGTCACATAAACACATAATCATGCAAATTATGCCCAATAAAATAATATGTAAAAATGATACAGAGCTCGGGGTTGTTACAGATCGTGTCTTAAAAAATTGAAAGAAAGAAATTCCCATGCCTCCACAGCCAAGCAGAGACTTCGAGGTCGAGCAGACTGTCTGTTCGGATAGAGTAGACTTCGTGCCTGGAAAAAAGTAGTTAAAAAGAAAAATTTTGAAAAAATATGGTGTGCCCCCAATGTGGGTGACACCTTGTAAAAAAGTTTTATGTGAATTAGGCAGAGCATTGCGTTGCTCGATCTTTACTTGATTCGTTCAAGTTTAACTCATCATAGAGTGTAACTCAGCTCTTCGTTAAGCGCGAGTTGTTACCATGTACCATGCTTTCAAATAACGACACTTGGCACAAAGTCCACCAAGCTATACCACTTGGCGCCCTACTTTGACCAAAGGGCCGAGCTTGTAGGCTGGGGCGTAGGTTAAAACCCATAACCCGTTCTTGCTCAATTAGCAAGTGAAAACATATACAACACATATGAAAAAGAATACAATTCGTAGAGAAGAGTTGATTTCGTTGGTACTTGGAAAATTGTAATCACATTCGAAAGATGTTCAAGTCATTACATTACTGATAGTATTTCTTCAAGTTGCAACATTCCAAGGACAAAGAATGGGTTTGCCTGCTAGGTCAGCCAGGTAGTAAGCTCCATTGCCCAAGACTAAGGTGACTTTGTAGGGCCCTTCCTAGTTAGGGTCGAGCTTCCCTTCACTAGGGGCTTTCTTATGATCAATGACTTTCTTTAGCACCAGATCCCCGGGTTAAAATTGCCTAACTAACACATTTTATTGAAACTTCTGGTAGGTTGCCAGACAAATGATGGTGGACTCTTTGTGTTTCTCTGTAGGGTCAAGAGCTTGGGCGATGTCCTCATCATTATTTGCTGGTTCAAAGATTTCTGACCGAATTGTAGGAAGATTGACTTCCAAGGGAATGCTGGCCACCATTCCATAGGTGAGAGAGTAGGGCGTCTCTCTTGTTGATTGGTGTAGTTATGTATGCCGATAAGACATTTGGCAATTTTTCCATCCACTTGCCATTGGCTTTTTCTAGCCATTTTTTTTATCTCATTGACGATCGTCTTGTTAGATGCTTCAGCTAAACCGTTGCCTTGCGGGTAGACTGGAGTATAGTTTCTGAACTCAATTTCAAGTCAGAGTAGAACTTCTTGAAAGTCTTCCCATAAAACTGGGTGCCATTGTCAGAGAGTAAGACCCTTGGGATACTAACCCAAGTAATGACATTCCTCCATATGAACCTTTTCATGTCAGCTTCCTTGATACATACTAAGGCTTCAATCTCCACCCACTTAGTGAAGTAATTGGTGGCAGCAACGAAGAACCTTTTGTTGGCAGTACCCTTTGCTAGAGGTCCAACGATGTCCAAACCCCACTGTGTAAATGGCCACGAGCTAGTAAGGGAAGTTAGGTACTTGGCTGGTTGATAAATAAGTGGAGCAAATCTTTGGCACTTGTCGTATTGTCGGACATACTGTTGGGTGTCTTTCTGCATACGCGGCTATGAGTGAGGGCTTGGTGTGCCAAGGGCCGACCTCCAGTGTGACTACCACAAATCCCCTCATGGATTTCATAGAGCAAATTCTCTACAAGGTTGGGATGAACACAAAGAAGATACGGGTTAAGATAAGACTTCTTGTAGAGCTTACTCGAGGGTGAGATCCAAAATCACGTAGCTCAATGCCTTATTTTATGTGCTTATTTCTTGTCATCTAAGAGGGTACCATTTTTTAGGAAGGCAATGAGAGGGTCCATCCAGCTCAGATCGAGGTCAGTATAGAGAACTGAGTTGGGTGGACTGACAGTTGGTTGAGGAACATACTTGACCCATATCTTGCAGTCACTTCTGGAATCCACCAAGGAGCCAAGCCAAGCTAAGGCATCGGTATGGCTGTTTCCATCTTGGCCAATTTTCTTAACCTTAATAGCTTGAAATTTACGAATGAAGTGCTTGGCTTGTTTAGTATAGAATGCCATCCGCTCATCGTGAGCTTCATATACTCCAATTAGTTAGTTCACCACAAGTTGGGAATCGCTATAAACAAGCAAGTCCTCTGCATTAAAATGTTCAGTGTTTCGTAGACCAGCTAGCGGGGCCTCGTATTCTGCCTCGTTATTGGAAGCCTTCAATCCTAGTCTGATGGTTTACTCCCAAACAAATCCTTCCAGTGA